GGCGGCGGCGCACGCCTTTACCCAGCACTCAGGAGGCAGAGGCAGGGGGATCTCTGAGTTCTGATTCCAGGCCAGCCTGGTCTACAAAAAGAAGAGAAACACATGGAGCTACTTACTGTGCCAGGCCGGGGATAGGGCATCTTTCCTGAGAACGGCATCCACTGGTAGTTGGGGCCTTCCTTGTGAGCAAAGGGCCCATTGAAGACCATGCGGATGTCAGCCATGGAGTAGACACACACAGCAGAGCCTCGGAACACGGAGCTGTGTGCAAGCACGTCACTGCTATGCCCAGGACAGACCCTGGACCCATGGCCCTCTCCAGCCCACGTCCACCCCACAGCTTGCAACCATGCCAGGGTCCTACACGGTCACACCCCCCACCAATCCTGCCACTGCTTGCCCTGACTCCAGCCTCACCCTGAGGAGGTAAAAACAGCATAAATGACCGGGTTCCTGACATCCTGGGTCTGCTGGACAAACACATCCTCTGTAAAAAAAAGGGAGGAGGTATTGGGGACACTGCCTGAGAGAGAAGTCCCATGCAGCCTGCCCACTCCTGCCCACAGGAGGCCCCTAAAGGCGCCCTGACCCCTGATCCAGCCGCCATCCCTCCTGCTAGAGGACCCAGCTTGCTTGTGGAGCACTCACGGAGTTCATCGAAGTGGGTCTCAATACCGTCCTCGCCTGGCACAGAGCAGACGAGCCGCGCCTTCAGGAATGTGCTCCACTTGTTGACTAGGCAGCAGTGGCCACCGTCGTCATTCTGGGGGTGGGAGCAGGCAGCCAGATTAGATCAGCTCATTCACCCCAAGACTGGCTGGAGCAGGTCTGGGGAGCGGCAGCAGGGTTTGACGGGCACTTACGAGGCAGATGCGCCCAATGCGGGCGTACACGGCAGGGTTCTGAGGAGCCTCGGCAGAGCGCTCCCGGAAGAAGAAGTAGAGCTTGTCGTCATTGCGCTCCGCACTGTCAGGGATGAGCTCAGCGTGAATGAATGAAGGGTCTGCGGGTAGACAGGCGGGCAGGGGTCAGCAGCATGGAACCTGGCTCGGTTTCTTCTTCTCCAACAGAATCCCCAACAGGAAACCAGCCCCGCCCCAAGCTGGCCAGTCGGTCTGGGAACTCTCCCCAAGGCATGCTTCTGTGGATGTCCTTGCACGTCCCAGCCACACCCCCACTGAGGCCTCGGGGGTGCAGCTCACCATTGAGCCACCGGGAGTTGTACTGATCTGTGCGCATGGCCGTCTGCTTTCCAAGCGTGCGGAAGATGGCTGCGTCAGTGCCCATAAAATCGATGTAGACGCCTGCGTAGAGCTCCTCGTCTGTAGGAGGGTCAGTGGGTCAGTCAGGGGACTGCTCAGACTCAGGGACCCCCAGGCAGAGTCCTGGCCCCCTTCCAGCCGCCCAGGGCATGATCATATCTTCTGTTAAGTGTTTACAGTCGGGTCTGGGAGGAGGCCTGAACAGCCCATTCCTGTGGCCCTCCTACCCTGGCTTATCTCAAGCTGCTAACCTGAGCTCACCTGCCACAGAGTGGGGAAGGCATGCCAATGCCATCCTATAGGATTTCTACCACACAATCACAACGGGCCTAAATTAGAGCCTCAAACGCGCAGATTACAATGTAGCAATCTAGTAAAACAATTAGGAAGTAATACATTTTGAGCACTCATTATATTTTGTTGCCATTACTTCTGTTTTAATACAACTGATTTGGTTGTGAGCCTTTATAATTTAATTTTCAACAATAGCTGTGTTTAACAACTGGATCACAAAAATTCCTGAAAATGTAGGGGCTGAGTAATGTTTTCCTTCTGAGACTCTCCAGGGTAAACCCTGCCTTCCCCCAATTATATTCCCTGGTCTGGACTCTGCTTTCTCATTCACCAAGAGGAAAACACCCGCCCGGCCACACCCAAGGGCCTTCCCCAGGCTCGCAGGTGGCATAGCACCTGCCGCTGCTCTGTGAGAGGCCCTGGGGATGGACTGTATGGACAGTCAGAAAGCAGAGAGGGTGTAAAACCGGGGGCAAGCTCCCCAAGCTGCAAGCAGGTGCGGCAGCCGCTGTCCACAGGACACTTCCTGGAGAAGAGGCCTCCACTCTCCAAGACACCTGCACAGTCCAGAAACAGGTCCTCCCCAGCTGGTCGGGGTACTTGGTTGGGGTACTGTGTGTGGTGCTTCTGAGTCAGCCTCTTCCAGTCTCCTCGACATATAAAGGAGCTATGGGACCCCTCACCCCACTCTCAGTACAAACTCAGCTTATCTCTCTTCTAGGCAACCCATGGCTCCAAGGGTTCTAGGCTTGGCGAAGACCCTGCTTGGTATCTCAGGGGAAGACCTTAGTGTCCCATCCAGAAGGCCGGATGGAGGCTTATAGAACTTAAGCTCTGCCTCTCAGCTCATCCGAGTCTGTACCATACCCCCAACCCCTCCAGGTATGTCCCCACTGGGGGCCAAGGGAACATGGTCATGGTCTCTGACGTGGCCAACTCTGTTAGCAATCCTCCTCATTCTAGTGGTAAAGGCTACATACTGATGCCATAGGACCAGGATGGAGTAAAGGAACTCACTGATAAGGGCTGAGGCTGTGTCCAGCTTGGGGTCATATGGACATTTGCCCTTCCCTGACTCGAGTCTCTCAGGCTCCAGGTAGAAGATGTAATCCTGCAGGGTAGAGGAGGGCTCAGCACATCCCGGCAAGTCCCACAGACAAGGAGACCAAATTCCATAAGGTTCCTAGGGCACCCGAAGGGACACCCTGAGCCCGCCCCCTCCGCACACCCTCGGGGTCCCCAGAATTCCCGTCAGCCAGGTCTCCTGGGGCAGGCCCATGGTATTTCCACGGGAAATAATTTCTGATCTTATGCCTCAGGCAAACACTAAGAATCGAGTCTCAGAGGTCCAGGTCTTAGGGACCACAGGCTGGGCTTATACAGGCTAAGTCCCTCCATGCCAACAAGCTCAGGAAGATGCCTGCTAGACCCCCCTGGGCTCCAGAGGCCTGACACCTGGAGCTACAGCTGCCTACCCTGGGCCAGTGAGGGGCTGCAGACCTGGGAGGACAGGGGGCACAGTTCAAGGGCTGGGGTCCTGTTCTCCTAGCACCAGGTCCAAACAGGGAGTCTAAGATACGTCTCCAGACTTTTTGCTCTACCTGTGGACCTCAGGATGGACCAAAAGGTCACGGGTTTTCTGCTCTGCCACATCTCCCCAGAGAGCCACGTTGTGGGGTGGGTGGGGAGACAGATGAGACCGTGGAATTCACAAAAACAACAGCCATCTTTCCCCACACCACCCACTTCACCCCAGGAGATGCTGGGGGGAGGCCTGTGAAGTCTCTGGGACCGGGGTGAGCTCACAGGCCTGGTGGGGTGGAAAGGGAAGGAGAGGGAAGAGGAGAGACGCACAGAGGAAGTGGCGGCAGGCAGCAGATGGCGATGGGAAGGCGCACACGGGGCTGCTTTCGCTTAACACTCTGCACACGCAACTTCCTGTACACACACGGGCTGCACACAGATCGGCAGACAACACAACCAGCACGCACACCCACCGCTCATCCTAAATGTACACACACAGACTCTAGATAGCCTTAGACTTTCAGCACTCCCCACCAGGAAGACACACACACACACACGCACACGCACACGCACACGCACGCACAGTCATGCACAAACATGTAACCTCATACACACTCACATGCTGTCATTCACCGGCAGCCTCTGCCCCCCCGCCCGCCCCTGCCCAGCCCCAACTTGCCTTACCAGCCCAGACCCCCAGTCCTGACTAACGGACAGACACACTACCTCAAAGGAGAGCTCCCATATGTGAATGTGCAGGACACTTGTGTTTACTACGTGACCCACAGGAGGCACGGGAGCAGACACATAGGAGTCACGTGCCGGACCCACTACGGATAACAAGAAGTGCCCAAGCATATGCCGGCACGTGCTCATGTGTGTCTTGGCACGTGTTCTCAGGACTGAGGCATGACTGTCCTCTCTTCCCCACCTGGTGGCGTCAGGATTCCTTGCCTGCAGGGGTCCCACTGAGGCTGACAAGTGTCCACTGGAACTGCTTTCAGAACCTGAGGGCACTGCAGGGGAAGGGTGAGGATGGGGTAGGGGTGAGGGAGAAGGGAGACGCTGGGGGGGCTGGCCTTGGGGCCAGGCCCAGGGCAAACTGAGCTCAGAGGTCATCTGGCTTGGCAAAAGACTAGAAGGATGAGGCCCACCTGGCGTGGGGCTGTGGGCGTCGGGCGGTCGGCACCATCTGTGGCCCTGCTGCCTCGGCCTCTGACCACCGGCGTCTGGGTCCATGGCGGGGCCTGAGAAGACGAGGAATGAATGATAGAGAGGTTAGAGCTGGGGGTGGCGGGGGCTGGGGGAGCGGGCTTGGGCTGCCAGCCTCTCACACCACTCAGGCCAGGATCACACATGAACACATGGGCCCCCAGAGAACGTATATGCACGTGTACACACACATACACACAGGCTTGGCACACGCCTGCACACGCATGTGCCCCTCATGTCCAGTCGTTCTCCTACAAGCCCTACGAGGTTGCATCAGCTCACATACATGCCCACATGGAGATGGAAAAGGGCAGAAGCAGGCAGGGTGGGACAGTACAGCTTGGGATAGGTTAGCTCTCCTGGCCCCGGGAGCAAGGGGAGGGGGCAGTTCTCCCCCAGGCTTCCAGCCTCCGGAGACCCAAGACCCCACCAGGCTCTCTGACTTGGCGGCTGGTTGAAGATCCACAGACGTAGCCAAGAGACTTATTGCCCCGCGTGGGGCAGATGCTTACTGTGCGCCAGACACGGTGCTAGCTGGAGAGCGCAAACTTGCCTCTTCCAACCTGTCAGAAGGGACCTGTGAGCCCCATTGCCAGGTGAGGAGACCGAGGTTCGGAGAATGGGCAGCTTACTCACCCCAGGTCACAGGGCTTGGGAGTGGTAAGGATGGGGCTCAAGTCCATCCTCCCATCAGGACCTTGGAATGAAGCCACCGGCGGGGCCGGCACAGAGGCAGGAAGGGGCTTACCTGTGCGCGACGACCACGGTTCACATAGGTGCACATGGGGTTGTAGGCACCGGTCCCGCACACATACAGATGTGTGCGGTTCCAGGGCTGGATGAGCCTGACGAAGTTCCCACACTCCCCCTGTGGCCAGACAGAAAGCTGTGTGGACGCCCGGCACCCGCCCAGTTCTACCCCTCCCCAGGAGGTCGCTGCCTCACCCTGGGGGGGGGGCCCTCATTGCACTCACGTTGCCGTCCTTGCCGGACAGTATGCACTCCTCAATGCGCTGTGGGGAGGCTGCCCAATGGATCTGCCAAAGATGGAGGTTAGAGGATGCAGCCTGCTGGCCAGCCCCTGACCCTGGGCTCCATGCCCTTCGCCCTGCCTGCCCCTCTTCCAGGCCAGCCCTTACAATGAGGGGCTCTCGGTTGATGTCATGCAGGTCCAGGGACAGTACGTAGTCCTTGCTGCCCACGTACATGCGGTCATGGTCCTCGTCCTTGAGCAGGATCCTGTAGTCTGTAGTGTTGAGCAGGAAGTTGAAGAAGTGGGCCGTACCTGTGGCCTTAAGTTCTGTGGATGAAGGGCAGGACACCAGTTAGGGCCTTCGAGAGACCTACTCCCTCTGACAGAGAGGCACTGAGGCCACAGTTGTCCCCTCCCAGGGCCTACTTAGCTCCCTGAGAAAGTGGGACATGTGGGCAGGCCGGAGAAGGGGCCACACCCAAGGCCAAACCCTTGATTCACAGGCAGCCCAAGCTAATCCCCATGAAAGGGCCATGGGTGCAAGCCAGGGTGTGTGATGGCATCCGAGTCTGCTCAGGTGGGGGTAGATGTCTCTTCTCAGGGTGGGGCCAGCTTCCCACAGGGGCCCGAAAGGGTTAATGAGCAGGTGGAAGCGGTGGTGGAGGACAGGCTAGAGACGCTGGCTCCGAGCCTGGATACCCTGCCCTCGCCCGAGAGGACCACCAGGCAGAAGGCACAGCTGCTACCCCCCAAGATCCCCACCTGACCCCAAACAGGCTAGCCAGACACCAAAAAGCCCCGAGGGAGCCCTAACAGCCTACAGAACTTCAGTCCGTCGGACCCCATAAGGCTGCTAATGGTGGGACTCGGGGCCTACGTGGAGCTAGCCAGGGGGCATCACCGTGGGAAGGAGGCTCCCCCAGCGATGCTATGTACAGGAGCCCCATGCCAGGGCTGAGGGCAGGTACAGCGGGGCCTTCTGTTCCCCCTTCGGCCTGTATGCAGCAGCCTCGGCTCCCATCCTCAGGACACTAAGGTAAAGCTTTTCCTGGGATGAACGGTAGGAAGCTCAGCCTACGACAGGCCAACGACATGCACAGGACTCCTGGAAGCTTGTGAACCTGTCTTTGGGGGAGCTGCAAGGTCCACTGGGCAGGCCTGTCCCCTGCCCAACCCCAGCTATTTTTAGCTCAGGAGAGAGAAAGTGATGACTGAGGGTCATGGATAAATACTAGCAAGGGGGGGAGCTTAGGTGGCAACATACAGGACACATACGTGGCACACACATGTAGCAGGTATGTAAATGTGTCCCGCAACAGATGAGGTACTAGAGCATATATACCCACTCCCTGATTCCACAGCTGGCACCCAACTTCACAGGTGGGGCAACTGAGGGGGAGACCCGGATGAGCGAGGCACCTGGAGAGAGAACAGCTGAGGTCTGACGCCCGGGACACAGCCTGAAGGAGGCACCAGCAGGTGGCTGTCCCTGATCGGCCTGGCTCTGATTCCAACTGGTGTGTGGAGACCCTAGGGTAAGCTAGAGGGACTCTGTCTGAGACCAGCAAGCTGGTCAGGGTACGTAAAGGGGCCGGGCTGGGCTGTGGAGGCAGGATGTCTCTGCCAGTCGCCCGAGAGCCCGAGTCTGGTTCAGGACCTTACTGTTTAGAACTGCAGGGCACAGAGAAGGCTTGCCCTGCTCAGACCTGATTACGTACCAACAAGGGAATATAGGTGATGACCTTGGCCAGCCACTGGGACGCAGGGACGCAGGGATGCCGAAAGATCAAAGGGCCGATCCCTGCCTGGCTACGGCCTCGCCCGCCTGTCCGGCGGCGCCTCTGAAGTCCTGGGCAGGGCAGCCTGGGCACCTGTCCTGCACCTGTTGCTGGGTCACTTGGAGTCTCCTCCTTGGCCACCCAGCCATAGTGACAACAGGAAAGTAAACACTCCCCCACCCCCAGGGCTGGGAAGTGGCCAGAGAGGAAGTGGGGCTGCCAGTGGAGCCCCCCCAGGCTGGGACAGTCTGCCAGAGGTTATTTATACCCTGGCTGGGGGCATGGCCTTGGTTGTGCCCTTATTCATCTTGCTACGCTGGGGGTCACTTCAGGGGCAATGGAAGAGAGGAGGGACACCTTCTAATGTCGCACCCAGGTCAGAAGGGGGAGATTCAGAGAGCTAGCCCCCAGGCCCCCAAGCAGCCATAATCCCAAAGCCTTGTGCTTACACGTCCTTACTCACTCTCGGCCTCATAATCTAGACCCTGCCCTATGCTGTACCAGGGGCCAAGAACCAGGTCCAAACCAGCAATCTGTTCTCAGGGCCTCGCCTCCCTGCGAGAAAGACAACAGACATCCCTGGGCAGGAGAGGAAAGAAAGTTCTAGAAAGGAGGCAGAAGGCTCTCTTTGATCCAACATACACTGCCTCTGTATCTCTCTCAGTCTGTCCCTAGGTGGAGGGAGCCTCTCAGTCAGGCACCTTCTCTCCTTGGAGCTCTGTGCTTACATCCAGCCTATAGGTGAGGACATCAGGGTATAGGAAAGGAAAGTGACCGGCAAACTGCATGAAGACTGATGTCCCAAGGTTAGGGAGCCCATGGAAACCAGTCCCGGGGATAGAGACTGCCTGCCAGGATGGAGAGCCGGAAGGTGACTCGTCCTCCATCATCAAGGCAAATGATTCAGGACCTTAGGGACTCCTCTCAGTGGCCTCAGGACATGGCGTCAATGGCTCTGGTATTATAGGACACTCTGGTGTCACAGGACGTGATGCTTTAGTCACCGTGGAAATGGTGAGGAGGAGGAGAGCCGTGGGAGGCGATGCAGGTTGGAGACGAGGTACGGAAGGTCAGAGATCCTTGGCTGTGGCTCCATTTCCACAATGGGCGTTATTGACCGCCCCCCCTGTTGAAATACCCTTGGCTCTCTGAGCTTCATTTTACAGTCTAGAACATTTCATGGGCCTCCTAAATCTGACATCAAGGTGGCCCGGGTGGATCCTGGGAGCTGTTATTCCTTTGGCCTCCCCAACACATCCCTGAAGGGCATTTGTCTCGAGGGGAACCACAGAATGAATGGGTTGAGGTTCCCAGATCTTTTCCTGAGGAAGCAGGCTTCCTTCCAGATGTCACCATTACCTGAAGGACATCCACCTCCCACTCACATCCCCTACTACCCCCCTTCCTAGTGCTGGGGAGACGGGCAAAGAGGGCCACAGGGACGGAAGGGGCTTCCTGTTGACTCAGCCCCAACCTCTGTGTCACCAGCACGTCCCCTAGCCCCATCCAGAAGCACAGCTAAATCTCAGTTCAGCCCACAAAAACGGAGAGGCAAAGATGGTTAGTTCTCCAGGCTCTAGAGAGAATCATGTGTAGGGGGTCTAGCCTTTGCTAACCCACAGCTCCAGTGCTAATGCCACTCAGCTAGATGTCAGGAGAAAACACAAATAAGAAGCCCCACAACTGTCCCACATCCCAAGCAGCAGACAGGAAGACGGTGGTGTTTAGATTATGAAGTAGAATTAACTTCCTGACCTATCCTAACCTGTGTACCACAGGGCAAACGCTCTGGGACTTTCATCTTCTCCTAAGAAGCCTGGTTCAGAGCCAGAAGGGACGCTCAGGCAGGTACCCTTAGCTGACACCTGCAGATCCTGCCAGGTCCAGGAGTCTTAACGGGACTTGGGCCAAAAGGTTCCAGGGGCCCGAGTGCCATCAGCGCAATGTGGTACTGATGCAGACCCAGCCTGGCCATGTCTCCACACCAGTCTTGTGATATAGGCTTTGAGCGTGTCAGGGGAGGGTGGTGGGCTGGGTGCTGTTTCCTGGGAAGAGCCCCACCCCCCTGCTCTCACCCAAGCTGGGCACAGGTTGGGCGGGGTGGCATCCGGGAAGGATTTTCCCGTCATGGGAAGGAAGAGCCTTTTCTGGCATCAGGCACCTCATTTCCGCAGCCGTTCCCAGCTTCCAGACCTCTCCCTGTGGCTGTTAAGACACTGTCCTGGCCCAGCATGGCCTGGCCCAGCTCCAGAGGCAGGAACAATCTTAGTGCCTTCGGGCTTGATCCTGGGGTCTCTGCTTCCTCGTCCTGGGAAGCAATGGTTGATGCCTTACTTTAAAGAAGCCAGTGGGCGTGTCCACAGCCCTCACCAGAGACCCCAAGTGGGCGGGCCTCACACCCTGCTGCCTGTCTCTAGGACACCAGACCTGCTACCAGCCAGGCAGGGGCTGCTGCAGGAAGAAGAGCCTCGGAGCAGAGGTAGGGTGCCCGCCCCCTTGGTTACAGCTCCACAAAGCACTCGGCTCTGACTGACAGCGTGACCTCCCCCAAAAGGGCTGGGGATGAGAGAATGATAGACAGGTCCCTGTAGCCCAGTTCTGACCTCTGACCTCCTGGTGGGCTAGTGGCAACCCTAATCCCTGAGCTGAAGAGAAATGGGATTGGGTGTGAAGGGGCTGCCCGTCTAGATCTTTGTTAGTGCGTCATCCACCAGGAAGACAGGCCTCATGACCCGGGGAGGGAAACTGAGGTAGACAAGACAGACAGACAGACAGACAGACAGACAGACAGATAGATAATGTATATATCTACATTACATATATATAAAGCAGTGACAGTTACGTAAGTGGCGGAGCCCAGGAAATCCCCACTCAGCATTCCCATGGGCTCTAGGGAAGGGTCACCCTTAGCATCTCCCACTCCTCCAAAGCTATGAGGGGCCCCAGAGGAAGGCCTGGGGGCTGGCCTGGCCCCCTGGCTCCCAGCCTAATCCTCTTTTAATGAGCGGCCAGCCGGAAGGCCTCAGCCCCTGGCCACAGCTCTCCAACCCTGGGAGCCCCAGCCAGGCTGGGTTGGGGGCAGGGCATCCCAGAAGCCGTAGTGTGTTCCATCCCCTCGTTCAGCAAGCTTACTCCACTCATACCCAAAGCCAAGACTTCAGCCAGGGACCAGGTCAACTCTGGACCCATCGACAGCAGTGGTACCTGCCCATGCTGCCTCCCTTGGGCACTAATAGATAATGGTATGTAATATATACAGTCAAACTCAAGTTGGGGCTGGGCAAGGGAGGCTGGTGCCCTTCTTCCCAGAAGTCAGAATGAAGGTTTGGCCTTGGTGAGAAGCTGCACCTCCTTGGGGAGCAGAGCACCCTAAACCACTCTCTGTGCCCATCCCCTTCCTGACCAGGCATTCTAAGAGCCAGAAGCCTTCCCAGGATTCACCGGCACCGCCCCCCCACCAGGCAGGTGAGCCAGGTCGGTGCCAACAAAACCAATTACAGTCGCTCTCACCCAATTAGCAACTAATTATGGCCTCATAGTCCGTTCAAC